CACTTGAAAAATAATCTTCTGGAGTTCTTCGTGGTCTCTGAAATCTTCACCGCAGCCACTTGGGGGGGGGATACAATTGTAGTGCACTTGCTTAACCCAAGCAATCCGATCATCCATGGTGATTGGCTTAACTGAGGAAGATGAACGAGTGTTTTTCATTGTCAACAGAGAGAATTTGGGGAAAATGGTGTAAATTAGGGTTTATATGAAAAGGGGGAAATCGATTAGGGGGATATAAGAAGGGGAAATCGATTTGGAGGGAAAGTCAGGTTTGTCATTAGGGGAAAATTAGGGTCAAATTTGTCGTTAGGTCATTAGTTAACCATAGTTAAGCTTAAAATCCCTAATAACCATCATTAATGTTACCAATGGCTTAGTTTAATTAATTGAAGTTTACCAAGGATAATAACTTTTTTTGCAATTCACCATTGAGAAAAATAAAAACCATAGTGTTACCAAAGAGAATTTCACAAAACATTTTAGGAAAGGTTAGGGGTATGGTCAAATATTAAACTTCACGAGACTCTTTAACTCTTTACTGAACTCGTTAATCACACTACAAGAAATAGGCTTATTTCCGACGGACTTCTTCCGACGGACGAGAAAATTCGTCAGAAATTCTGACGGAATATAAATCCGTCGGATATTTCCGACGGATTTCCTACGAAATTAAAATCCGTTGGAATATATGGGTTTTCCGATGGAATTTTCCGTCGGTCTATTAATTTTCCGGCGGAATTAAAATCCGTCGGAACTTTCCGACGGATTATTCCGTCGAAACAAAAACTTTCCGACGAAATAAAATCCGTCGGAAATAAAATTAGTATTTCGACGGAATATTCAGTCGAAACATATTTAAATAATAAAAAAAATACAAACCCTAAACCCACCCATCTCTCCGCCTCTTCTCCTTTTTTTTTACAGCCGCTTTCCTTATCTCTCCTCTCTTCTTCTCTTTCTCTCTCCTCTCATTCTCCTTCTTCTCTCATTCTCCTTCTCCTCCTTCTCTCCTCTTCTTCCTCATTCCTTTCTCCTTCTCCTCTTTCTCCTTCTTTTTTTGTATTCATCAACATCAACAACGAACCGCAACAACAACAACCGGAACAACAACAACCGCAACATCAACAACGAACCGCAACAACAACACCTTCAACCGTCCGTTCAAGCAAATTCGTTTGTTGTTCAAGCAAATTCAAGTTTCAAATTCAAGCAAATTCGTTCGTTGTTTTTACATTTTGTAATTTTTTTTGTTAATTTGCATAGATCTGTTATTTTTGGTTTCGATTTGTATTTGTTCATTTGCTTAATGTGTATGGATTTGTTTTGGTTTCAATTTATTTTGTTTCGAGTATAATTTTGTGATCTTTATTGGTTTAAATTGGCTTAGATCTGTTTTGTTTTCAAAATTTTTCGTTTTTTTAATTTTTTTTTTCCCGATTTGGGCTGGGTGGTTCAGCTTGGTGGGGTGGTTACGGTGTGGGCTGGGTGGGGTGGGTGGAAGGTGGTTACGGTGTGGGATGGGTGGGGTGGGTGGAAGGTGGTTACGGTGTAGGGTGGGTGGAAGGTGGTTACGGTGGGTGGGCTGGGTGGAATGGGGATCTGGTTTGTTACGGGGTGGGGGTGGGGGTTGTGGGGCGTGGGGGGTGGGGTGGTGGTTGGGGTTTTTTTTTTATTTTTTTAAATTATATTTTCCGACGGAATTTCCGTCGGAAATTTCCGGCGGATTTAAATTATGTCGGAATCTTCGACGGATTTTCCGGTACCTGAAAAACCTTTTCCGACGAAAATATTCCGTTGGAATTCCGTCGGAATAGTGTTTTCCGACGGAATTTCCGACAAAAATGGCCGTTTTTCCTACAATAAGTTTTCCGACAACGTGTTCCGATGGAATTCCGTCGGAAATAGCCATTTCCGACGGAATTATAAGGTGTACCGACGGAAGTTTTCCGTCGTAAATCGGGTGTTTTCTAGTAGTGTCAAAGACGTGAAAGGTACTCATCACTAGGTTTGGTTTTTGGGGAGACACAATCAGGTGTCTACAGAGCTGTATCAGCCACAATTCGTCCAAGAACAAAGTCAGATAGCCCAGATTGTGTTAAAGGAGAAGACTCTGTCAAATTAACACATACATCGCGACAATTGCTTATTATTATTATTATTAAAAGTAAATATCAGTGATTGCAGGAATGGACAATTGCTTCATATATAGAAATGTTTTGAGAAGAATTAAATATAAGTGATTGCAGGAATGAATTGATATGACAGGTCTAATAAGTCCCCCCAAAGAGCATCCTTGTGGAAAGCTAAACGTGTATTTTTTGTCACATTCCAAGTGCTTCAAAAAGATATTCAGTCAGGTGATGTACCTTTTGTGTAGTGCTTATGAAAATGGAATCTAAAATTTATGATAACAATTAGGTTAAGATTGTGTGCTTTTTTTTTTTCCTATCTTAATTTTTAGGTGGTCCTGTGGTGGTGGGGGGTTGGGTGCGTCGGTACGCTACCCCAAAATAAGCCTCAACTTATGTTGGATTTTTTTAAGGTCATATTAAGTTATTTGTAGCAATTTAATCTAGTATTTGTATATAATTCCAATCTTAATTTTTGTGTTTGAAGTGAATTTTATGGGTAATTTTACATAAGATTTTGAGATATCAAGTTAGTTTTTGTTGGTAATATAATGATTGGCTTTGAGTTAGGTAAGTTTTTACTAGGTTCTCAACCTAAAATCCTTAATAATGGAATGCAATAAAGGTTGTAGGAAAGGAATTTTGGAATGAGCATATGTGGATTGTGCAGTACAATTTTTGTAAGTAAGATTCTTCTGAGCTAAAAGTTTTTAAAAGGTATGTAAGAAGACAAAGTAACCCAAAAGATTAGAGATTTTTTCTTCTATTAATGTTTTTTGTACAAGTATTCGATGGGCTTTTGTGATCTTCACTTGACCTTTGACAAGTTTTATTTCAATCATGTCGGGTTATTTGTAATGTTATTATATAATTCGTAATCAATCTCCAATTATGTCAAACTTTGCTATAGAACCTATCATCCTTTTTTATAAAATGGAATAAAGTTTGGAGGAGAAGAATTTTGGTGTGAGCATAAAATTTGTGCACTTTTTCTTTAGCACATTTCTTAGATAAAGTGGATAATTTTTAAATTGCTAAACAAATCCAAATGATTCATAGCTTTCTCCATATTTGAAAACGATCTAACGCTAATTGCTACTCCATATATATAGTTCTAAAAGTTTGAGCTACAAAATATTGCAATTATTATAGAAGCATACTAAACCAATATTTTTGTGATTTCGACTTTTTAGTTAACAAGTTTTGCCATTTGTACACCATGATCTAAAATTAAACTTCTAGATTATCTCAAGATAAAATATGTAGCTCTTTAACCTTATTTTATTGAGTTTTCATTGGGTTTTTTTTTTTTCCTTTTTCTTTATTTCAAAAATAAATAAACAAGCAATGATACTTGACCAAAAACAACGAATGTAGTTAGCAACAATTTGATTAGTTATGAGGCAATTGACAAAATTAGTAAGGAAAATTTCAATATGACACCATTAGAATTACATAAATTCTTATGCACAGTCAGTCACATGGTGTGACCACTTTAACATATAGAGTATAAGCAATTAGTTAAATAATAGGGTTACAATTGATGGATAAGGGTTACCGCAATGGAAAAATAGGGTTTGTCTAAAAAACAGGTGAAGTTATTCTTTTATTAGTCAAATCGAAGAAGAAGGGTTACTTGCAAGTTAAGATTTTTTTTTTTTTTTGTTTTAAGGTAAAGTACACGGGCCTAATAATCCCCCTATCACAGGAAAGGATCAATCACAGGAAAGACTAATAGATTAAAAGAAAAAAGAAAAATACAAAGTGTTACTTAAAAAAAAGAAAAAAAAAAAAGGCTTCTCAAGGAAGCTGAACAAACGCTTCTTACAGAAGCTAACCAAAAGGGGAAACTGAACCACCACCAAGATCGGCAGCGAGACGATGACCAAGCTCCAAAGGCAGAAAAAGCAGATGCATGCAGCTAGCGGCAAGCGTCGATTAAGGTCCGACTTGAAATTTCACATGCAAATCAAGGACGACAAACATGGTGACGGCGACAGAACGACGGAAAAAACATGGTGGTGATGATGACGAAATTTCCCGAAAGAACACCAAAGCACACAAGATCATGAAATTTCATAGATCTAACCCCATGGTGTGAAAAGAACTAATTAAACTTTGGTCTAAACCCTTCCACAAGAAGGGAGACAAACCGAGGAGAAAAAGGTGAGGCGGCAGCAACCATGGTCCATGGTGGAGGCTTAAAAGGCAAAATAAATCTGTAGAGTTACCTTGCTATGAGAACGAAAAGGAGAAAAAAACAACAAGAGAGGTAAACAAATGGGAGGAGGGCGGTGGAAGGACGGTAGGAAAATTCTGAGAAAAGGGTCTGAAGAAGGGGAATTCTTGAGAGAAGGCAGAGCCTCTCTCCCTAAAACTCAACCCAACAAACAAGTTAAGGTTACCCCATGAATAATTTAAATTACTTAAATTAATGAATAATGATTACTTTTACTATATTTTATTACTTGCTCCATTTCTGCATGCACGGAATTTTATGAGGAATAGTATAAAGTAATAAAATATGATGTAAGTGGGGTTGGTGGAAGAATAAAAAGGATCTTGATAATGAATGCTCCCAGGGCGTTAGAACCCTTTAAAATAGTACCTGAAGTGGCACTCCCTCCGTTCCTTTTTATTGTTTGCGTTTTGAGTTTACACGTTTGCCAATGCACTTGTTGACCATTAGTATGTTTTAGAAAAACTTGTCATGATTAATCCCAACTTTGCCTTATCTGCCAATATTAATACAAACTTTGGATTATTTTTTATTAATCCTAACTTTATATTTCGTCTGCCAATAACACTCCCAACCAGTCATCCAACCTAATATTACAAGTTTTAAGACACGTATCAATATATAATTGGAGTAAAAAAATAAAAATAAATAGATAAATAAATAAAGAAAAAAAACTAAACCACCAACACAGCCACCCACAAGCAGCGCCCAACCACCAACGGCCAGCCCAACCTCCTTCAACCCGAGCGCCGACCGCCATCCAGACGCCCTTCTCCTCTCCCGATGTCGGCGTTGCCTGATCACCCTCCCCTTTTCCTTTAACCGTTGATCACTTGACATATGCGTACCTCAATCGCAGCGACTGGCTTCCTAATTCTCAATAACGCGGCCCCTCTAGATCTATTGCTAACTAACCGTTCGGTTGACATATTATTTTCAACATATTACTCAACTTCCTTGTGGTTTAGTAAGTGCTCCTTTTCGATGTTCGCTTCGCAATGAATTCTGTCAAGCAATTCTCTCTCTAAAAATCATAGGGTTTTGTTTAATTTCCGTGTGGGACACCTTTAATCAAACTTTTGACTCGCGTCTAACGGTTCGTAACTGTGAAATACTAAAATATAGTAAAATGACAATTTTGACCCCGAAAACAAAATCCGTTTCTCACCGAGATCAACTTGTATTTACCGAATTACCGTATTTTCTACCTTTGTAAAAACAAAATAAAATAACAAAAGAAAATCGTACTCTGTAAATAAATTCCAAATCCCCTGAAATATCAGTTTTCCCTCCTTCCTAATCTAATCAGAAGATCAGACACCAAATCGCCGCTGTTCGTCGGAGCTTCTGTCAGACGTTGAAAACGCAAGTTTCGTCAAGCTTTTCCTTCAGGTATAAATTTCAGTTGTTCATTGGTATGTTTTCAAACATTAAGATTTTATTTGCAGAATTAATTGTGATTATATGTAAAAAAAAATTACACACTTGTTTAACTACTTTGTTTGATTACTTACTAGTTTTATGCATGTTCTCTTGTTCAAATACCATTTATCTCAATTAATTTGATCTGCATTGTTTGATCAATATATTTCTGGTGTAATTTTGGAAAGAGGGATTATCTGATTATTTTTGCTCAATTTACCATATTTGTGAATTTAGGTCAACTGATATTGATGAAAGTGATTACGTTTAGTTTATAAATAATTATACGGCCTGCTTGGTACGCGGAAATAAACGGAAAATATGAATAATATAAATTTCAATGTCCATGGTTATGAAATTTCAATATAAATTATTTTAAGTTTCCACTGCTATTGGTTGTACATGAATGTGTTGTTGCATTGGTTGTTTTTATTGTTTCCTTAATCAATATATAAAAGTTCGCCGGAATTTTATTATGATTGTCAATATTGCTTTGGTAACATAATGAGACAGGCATTATGTGACTGAAAAATTGGCAAAAGTGACCCGAGTACGGTATAATAATAGAAGGTATAAGGTATAATAATCTGAATGGTGGAATTTGTTTACTAAGTACTTTTCAAGTCTACTTTGAGTTCTAGTACAAAAACGATCGTGTCACGGAAATGCAGTTAATATTCTGCATATATCTTTTGTTTATACGCGAGGCATGTAAGCTCCTAAGACAGTGAAGAGTGCTTGTATTAGTTGCCTTATCCTAGTCTGTGAGACTGTGACTTCATGTTTGTTTGCGGAATATATTATTGATTTAGTGTGTGTATTAGATATGGTATAGCTAGACTTCTTAGTTGCCAATCTGGATGTCTTTTGGCAAATGGTGTTTCAGTATATTGATCAATACATGATTGATGAAGTCTGTTCTAGATTGCAACTTATAAGTTTGAGGAATGGATGTTTGGATCAGGATTAATCAATCATCTAAAGTATGATTAGCAGTCAAAAGTCGTTGAGAACAGTTGTTTGAAATATGGAGGTATAAAATAGACCAGCCATTGAGAAATTTATGTTTTTTCATTGGAAATTTGAGTGATTCCTTTCTGTACATCTAGTATTCGACAGCTACTTAGGGTTTACTTGGCTAGTGACCGTAATGTCTTTATCCCTCTCAACCAATTGCCATTATAAAATATCATTTTTCATTGTTGCGCGATAGGCACTTTTCAGTCCATCAATCGAAGGTATATGGGTTTAAAAGTTAGAATAAAGCCTGATCATGCACAATCAAAATATTGTACCCCTGAGATGGCCAACTGAATTCTCTCTTTTTGTTTAGGGTGGACTAGCAGCAAAGTAAGTACTGCACTCTCTAGCTGTTGAATAGCACAGTTTTGCAAACTTATTTAGTGATTTTACATAGTCCACCACAGAATATAAAAAAACTTATGATTGAAAAGGTTTGGTGAGTTATTCAGTAATATCTTTTGGTTCTCGCCTTATTCTAGCCGATCTCATGGGGAGGTAGTGGTTCTTTTTAGCCACTTACTGTGTCTATCTGAAAAGCATCATGGTTGACTATAGTACAGTATCTAAAAGTAGAAATAGAATGTATATGAGATAATGGATGGAGAGAGGAAAGAATTAAGTGCAAGAAGTGCTGTGAAAGAGGGAGAATGGTTGATGTGATGGACAGAGAAAATGACATAATACATTCAACTCGTGTCTTTACCTGGAAGGAAAAGAGGATTTTTCTTTCTGGAGCATCTAAATGTTGTAAGATTTTTGTTTTTTTTGAAGAGAATAGTTGTTACCTGTTTTCTACTACCCAGGAGGGAGGAGGAGCTAGATATATGAAATGCTGATATAATTTCTGTGGAAAGCAGGTCATAGATGGAAGAAAGATTGAACCCATAAAAGTTGTTTCTCAGGCTCACAAGTCACAATGATGCTTGTATCTCCATTGGCCACCTACAAATGATACATTAATAGAAAGAACTTTTTCTTAGAACTCTCCGATTACTACTGTGTATTGCAAGCGCTTTTGACCTTCTCCAAATCAGTCTTAAAATATTAAAGGTATAGGTATTTTTATATAAATAAGCATATTGCATGGCTTACAGTAAATGAAATAAAAGCTGTATTTCCTTGTGAACAAGCTTTGATCACCTGATCTGAATCGACTGAATGTTGCGTAAACATAGGCTGTCTTCTACACAAGATCTTTCCTGACTGTTTGCCTGTGGAATCATAGCAAATGTCTGATAAAAAACTAGGAACCACATTTGTATGATATGCAGCTTACACCTCTATGCTGGAGTCAATCACATCAATGTCAAAGTTTATCTAGTTAGCAGGTTCTTTTCAATGAAAATCATTATCGACTGTCTTCTCTGATTACTGTTCACAGGTCCGTGCACTCGTGCAATAGGGTCACTATATTAAAAGTTATCCACTTTATAGTTGAAGTCAATGTTTTAATGCTTTGAGTTATTCTTTCTTAAATTGTCACATGTGTAACATAAAAGAATAACAAAAGCATGGCACACTATAACTGTTATTGTGCACCCGATACACAGATGTGCGGGGCACATATCAGTTCCCATTTAATTTGTAACTTCTACTGGTCTTGGTATGATATTTCTCATATTAGTGTTCTTTTTGTGGACTCTTTGGCAGTGCTTTCATAGACACTTAAAGTTTTTGTTCATTGGAAATGATATGCTCCTATATCAGTTAAGCTGCATATTTTGGGATGTTTTTTGACCCTTTGAAAGTGTTGAGCATAGATCAATTCATGTGCAGTTATGGCTTTGCTGCAATTATATACTTCAATAGTTAAACATGCAAGTCCAAGATTCTCTTTTCTATATATTTTTATGTTTGTAGAGGATCATTGTTATATTCTAGGTGATTTTTTGTCATCAGTAGTTTACATTGAGCAGGTCTCCCTTAAGCACAAGGCATTAGCTTATAAAGGTGGTGATGTAAAATTGCAGATGGACAGGGAAGTGTCAGAGCGTCAAGTAAAAGAACGTTTGAGGACAAGGTGGACAGCTGCCCTTGATAAAATCTTTGCAGACTTGGTTGTGGAGCAGATTCAATTGGGAAATAGGCCAAATAACGTTTTTGACAAGAAGGCGTGGGGCTACATACGTGATGAATTCAATAAGCGAATGGCTCTAAACTTCAATAACAACCAATTAAGAAAGCACCTAGATGTTCTTCGTGCTCGGTATAATCAGGTTAAGTCTGCTTTAGTTCAAAATGATCTCATCATGGAAGATTCATGCTGTGGTGGATTTGACTTATGGGAAGGCATAGAGGTATATTCTCCCTAGTTGTTTCTGCATTCTTTCTCATCTTTGATGTTGCTATTTCCATTGTTGTTGAATTGGCATTAAGCTGCTTATGCTACTGGACTTTCAGGTTAATCCTAAACCAGAGCCAGCTAAAATCAGGGACTGCCCCATTTATGAGCAATTATGCATTATATTTGCTGATAATGGTGCTGATGGGAGATATGCCCAGTCAAGCCATTATGAAGAAGTGGAGCATAAATCTAGTGCTAATAATGCTAATCCTCTAGGCTCAACCTGTGGTATGAAAATTGAGCCACCGACTCCTGAAGCTCCGTTGTTAATGAAACCCATGGATGTCAATACTACTTCCTTTATGAACGGAGGTAAGACTGATTGTGAGAAAAAGAGAAAGCATACATCGGATGTGGATCAAAATGATCAACAACGTAGGAACCATAAGATACTTGATTCTATGGCAGAAGCATTGCTAGGTATGATTGACTCCTCTAAGCTGAGGAAAATTACAAAGACGGAAAGTAAGGAGAGGTTTTCCATCACAAATTGCATCAAAGCATTGGATGAAATTGAAAGCATGGGAGAGTCGTTGTACTTTGCGGCTTTGGATCTCTTTGATGACCCTAACATCAGAGAAACCTTCATATCTCTTAAGGGTGTTGACAGAAGATTGCGTTGGTTACAGGTGAAGTGCAGTACTACTAATTGCTTTGAAGTACAAGGGCAAACTAGAGATGATTTTTGGACACATTCGGTACAGATAAACTGATATCGGAGTGAATTTGTTTGTAAGTATCAAGACAAACTCGGGGTAATTCAATGGAAGTAGATAAAGTGATTACAAACATATGTACTATTTTACTGCATCACCATCACTAAATGAATGGAGTAAAATAGTGCACCTCCTTCTTGCACCATGCTATTGTTTCGATAAGGTTAATTAAGGTTGTAGAGAGAAATTAGAAATATTATCTCGATAATAATGTGATTAATGTCCATGTTTAAGCTCACGAAAACATATCATGCTGCTCATTACTGCTGATGGTGCTGATTAGTGATCACCATCACAACCATGCATCCCCAGTTGACAATGTATCAATCTTTGCTATAGGTTGTCATACTATTCGTTCACTGAAGTGTCCTCTAGCTCCAAGCTGATGGTAATTCTTATGAACCACAAGAAAACCTATAGCAAAGATGACATTCTCCTGCAAGATTTGTTGCATATGGCAGATTAGCAACAATGTGAGTGCAATTATAAACGTTTACTAGGTCCACGAAACTCTACTCGTTTTTGGTTAAGGATGTTCCAAGATAGTCTTTCCATTTAATTTCATCACATCAGTTACATTTTCTGGCTGATTCCTAAAAGGCAGAGACAGAAGTTATGGTTATTTAGGAACTAGGATAAAGGTTTGGATGTAAACACAAGTATGTCTTGTTTTTCTTCGGGAATCTTGCAGAATAGATAGATTTAGATCCCCTTGTGTTCATATAGGGTTTCTTAAAATTGTTTCTCTGGGTGAGGAAAAAAAAAAGAAAAAAGAAAAAAACGAGATTCAAAATCTAAAATATCTGCTGAATTCATCAGCATGCTGCATTTGACTAATAATGTTACTTTACAAGAGAAAAAAAATACTAGCAATGACTGTTGCAGCACGCTAAAATTGACTAATGTTCAGCAAAATTGTTACAATTAAACAAGCTAGTAAAAAACATAAGTATAACAAAATTATGGCTTAGTGCCACTCTCAATCGTCCACCGATGGTTTAAGAAGATTCTCAACCCTGAAAGGAAAACTATGGGCTATGGAGCATCATTTAGCAACATACAGTGCTGCTAGGAGTTTGTAGGACCTTTGACATGTCAACAAAACAGTGCTGGGTTCTTTAATCCCCATCGAAGATGAATCTTCGAATACTCTTTTATTCGTTGACTGCGTAAAATTGCAACATTTCTGCCTCCACGGGGTGAGTTTCGCCAACAATGGCAAGGCAATGCAGTGGATCTCCAAAATCAACAGTTTGCAGTTTCTTCATTGTACCCGAAACAATGATTTGATCCTCACTTCCTAACCGGGCAAAACCCACACAAAGAGTGTCTTCACTGTAAGCTGCAATCCACATGAAATACACTCAATCACAGGTCATCAAAGTAGTAAAATTACATATTAACAAAATAAAATGTTCCAGTTAAGGATAAACATAAAAAAGAATTTATTCTTCTGAAGCACAACAAAGGGGTGGATAATCATGTGAAGAGAAACAACCTACCTGATTGACCACACTTCTGCTCAACCTCAAGGAGCTGTTCTATTGCAGTTCCAATGGACATGAACCTTGGTGGTTCATATATCTTTTTTCCCCTGAAAGTAATTGTATGTACTGGCATGTTATAAAGCAAGTTTAAGTAAGCAATAAATAAAAAGACAAGATTTCATTCAATTGAAACCAGATGTTAACCTGCAGAGAGATTCCAGTGAGGGTTCCTTCACTTTTATATCTGCAATCAACAGAAGACAAATATCTCAGGCGTGAATGCAGTATATCCAGAGAGACATCTATATGGTCTATATATCAGGTATAGATCCAAGAACATGGCCTGAAGATTATTAATCTAAATATACAATCATGGTTAAATAGTGTCCATATATAGAACATGGACTCCGGCACATGCAGAAGTTATGCTAAATGCCTTTTATGATACTTCGTAATAATCAATGAAACCATACACGACCTAATAATTGACAATAAGTAAGTTTATTAGAAAGACATAAAGGGGGGCGCTGCCGGCTTAGAAAGTATGAGCCGGGGACAAGAACAAGCCTCAACTTTAAAGGGGAAGCAAGAAATAGAAGTAATAATAATGCTTTCAAACTATAGGGCGATCTTTTCCACAAAATCAAATTAAGTTGAACAATGCTCCAAATGTGTCTGGCCCAAATAACACAAAATTATGTCACTAGGACTCAACATTTCAACACAAGCATTTGTGTAGGGTTCTTAACAAGTCAACATACAAAGGAGCAACTTACATACACACCAAAAGGAGCAACTACATGCACACCAAAAGGAGCAACTTACATACAAAGTCTCCCAAAGACCAATGCCCAAGGGACAAAATACAACAAATCGAATTTATACAGATCAGTAATCACAAGGAGAAGCCATAATTGAATAAATCTACAGTGTTAGTGCAACTCTTTCTTGGTTCAATAGAGGGTCAAGGTCCATCTATACACCTATAATTATCACTTAGCAGCCTTATTCGTTCAATGCTCCCCCATAACCATAGAAGGTCAGGCTCATAGGACCACATACATATTGACACGATGGACTTGATGGTTAAAGCATTTTTACTGTGACATGAGACAATTGAACAGCATTCATGACGCTAGAAGCCATTATTAACCACAAGTACATGTACTGTATCACAGATTACCACTCTTGTATTCTACATCACAAGCAAAACTAAAAATCCATTGCAAGCTATGGCTTTGGACCACTATATTTCTAGAAATACAAGAGTGCTAGAAATGTAGAATATGGATCAACAACATATGCACTATGCATGGAGCAAATGGTCTGGCAAAAAAAAATTTCATGAATAGAAACACAATTCCAATCTACAGTACATTAATTCAAAGTTCAATATATAATTCATAATTGCAATAAGAACAACTCCTCCAAAGGCAAGGGAAGTTCAAGGTTGAACAATGACGAGCTTAAGAGAAAGGAAAGGGTGAAAACCACACCTAACAAACACAGAGTATGCAGACCAAGATCACGGTTTCTTTTAATCTTTTCATAGAAGCTATCAGGTCTCCATGTCTCGGTAAAGAAAGGAATTGAAATCGTCTCTCCATAACGATACAATTGCAATCCACATACTCCAATTGCATTCATCACTGATGCATTGTGCACTACCTTGACCTCAACTCCAATCTCCTTTGCCCGAACAACAAGGTCCGTGTGTGTTGTAGCTCTACATTCAAATATGATTTAGACAATAGCAATAATCACAAATATACACACCCAAAAGCAAATACAACCATCACAATTACTTTAAAAGACCAATGCCATTCTTCATAGTAGTAGTTAAAACAAGTAACATACACACCCAAAAGGATCCCCGACAACAAGGAAAGCAACATCGGAATCACGAGCTTGCGAAAGCATAGAATCCGCCTTTTCCTCCACCATTTCTCTATCAGCCACAATCACAGGTTTCCCATATAATTTTTCCTAAAAAACCAACTCCAAAATTACAAATTGCAGATAACAAATACTTGGTAAAGGGTTTTATGAAATACCCACAAAATTAAACTGAAATTAAAAGGGATTATTCTTACCAAATTAGAGAGACCATCAGAAGAAATACCAAAAGAAAGGAGTGAAGTATAAGCTTCAATGTAAACATTTTCACATTTCTTGACAGCTTCTAAACCTCTCAAAGTTATGTCTTTCTCATCTCCCAACCCCAATCCTATAATGTATAGCATCTTTACTTTGCTCTATTCAAAGTTTCCAAGATCCAGAAAAATGCAGGTAGAATAATTCAGGGTTTAATAAACAATTTGAAAACTTGAATTCGAAAGAGTTTTTAGGGATTTCGCGGGAGTTTTTCGGGGGAGGGGAGAGTTTTTCAGGGGGAGGGGAGGGGCGGCGAAGGACGGGGGAGCTCCGGCGAGGGGTGGCTAGTAGTGGGGGAGGGGCGTCAAGTGGTGTGGTGGCTGAAGAAGGTAGGAAAATGAAGGAAATAGGTATTGTGTGGTGGTGAATTGGTGGCTAGTTTCTTCTTGTTATTATTCAAAGGAAAAATTCATGATAATAATCCGACCTTTAGTCCATTCTTTTTTGATAATCCGACCTTTGGATTATTATTTAATAATCCGACCTTTGGGGTCTTTAATTTTTATTGGTCCCTACAGGTTACCTCACTTGTTGTAGCCGGTATTAATCCTACGTGGCTTCCAACGGTGATATTTCTTTTAAATTTTTTTTTTATTTTGTTTAAAATGCCACATCCCTTAATTGTTGGGTCTTCTTCTTCTTTTCTCTATTTCCTCTCTTCCTTAAATGCCATTGTTGCTCTCAAATTCCCCTACCAAATCCCTCTATTGTCACTGAAATTTGGTTGCAATGGCTAGTAGGAGGCACATTGGGTCAAGTGGATCATCCGTCAAGGTCAGTTGGTTGGGGTTCCCCAAAATTGAAGTGCAAATAGGGTGTAGAAGCTGTAATTCGAACGGTGAGGAATGGCGATAATGTGGGTATGAAGTTCTATGGATACCCTAAATGGCCTGTAAGTGTGGTGGGAAGTGACAATTTTTTGTTTTTGCTATTGAACTTAAGATAATTCAATTGGGAAAATCAAATTAGGGATTTCAAATTCAATTGATTCTGGGTTTTTTTTTTTACAAGAGGGTGGTTGTGGATTCTTTCAGTGGGTTAATGGTAACAAAATGGACCTTGAAGATCTACGATTTCTGGTTTTTGAAAGAGATACTCAAGTTGCTGAAAAAGAGATTGAAATTGATTTCATGAAGGAGCAGTTGAAAAAAGTAGAGAAGAATTTGGGAATTAAGGAGGATGAGTTGAATGATACCAAAATGGAGCTTTGCCACACTAGAATTGAACTAATGAAGGCGTCAAGGAATGAAAAAGAACTTCTCCATTGCTCTGTTTGTGTCATGGATTTTCTTTGCTTTTCTTTTAGTGTATTTGAAGGCATGACAGTGATGTTGTGCAGATGATAGTTAGTTAGAATGAATAAGTTAGTTTAGGTTGGGAAATGATTGTATTTTGGGCATTTGTGACATGTATGGTCAAAAAACTTGGTGGTTATGCAAGATATGTATGCTGCAATGATTTGATGAATAAAAGGAAGTTATTTTGACAAAAAAATTTGCTTACAACTTCAATTATCATATAGAACTGAACACATTAAAGTTGTTATATTGAACATAATAAGTTGACAATGTTTAGTCCAAAAGACACAAAATGAACCCTACCATGGTTCATGCTATTTCACAGTAATATGCATATTGACTTCTATAAGCCAACATGCCCAAACAAACTGTTCCCAAAAGCTTACACAAACAAAGTACAAACACTGAATTAGTTAATTACACCAAAAGTGAGTCATTGTTCATGCCACTACTTAGTTGACTATTGAGTTGGTTGATGTAAGGTGGAAAGTTGACTTTCTTGACTGCACTGGAACTAGCCCATAGCTGATGTTGTTCTCCTTTGATTGGCTTGGGTCTGCACACAGATACAACAACAGATTAACATTAGTATAACATTAATTACAAGCTAAATCAAACACACATAAAGTGACAACATAAAGGCATTTACACTAGTCATTGCAGATCCATCTGATGCAATGAATACACCTACACCTTCTGGGACCTGAACAATTATAACACATCATCAAATAAGCAACAAAAAGTTACAACATACAAATAAGCTATGTACAACTAGGAAAATATACCTGGTTCCTTCCTCTTCCCCTGGTACTACCCCTGCCCCTTCATACTCCCCTGTTCCCACTTGAAGCACCTCTGCTAGAACTAGCAACATCTGAACCCCTTCCCCTTCCAGCATTGACAGCAGCACCTCCTCTACCCCTTCCACCCCTTGATCCCTTACCCATTATTATTGTTCTTCCTCCTCTACCAAGTATGGTAGGTTGAGCAGTTAGGGAGTGGTGGGTTGTATCAATTTGTTGCCTAGAAGAGGGTGTAGCCTGAGTGGATTGCACAGATGTTGGTGTAGGTTGAGGTGCAGCTGCAACATCCTTGCGAGGCCTCCCTCTAGCCCTTTTTAGAGCAGGTTCAGGTGGTTGTACATTGTCCTTGTTAGGGCACTTTATTTTATTATGCCCTTTTATTTAGCAGAGGGAACAAGTAATTTCAATCCCTTTGGGGTTCTCATGTGGATCTTTGATTCGATTTTTCCTTGGCCTCCCTGGACCAATTTTGATTGGTGGAGGATCAATAGGCATATACACTACTAGCCAATGTCTTTCACTTTGAATCGGTGGAATGGAGCCTAACAAAATCCAGAAGAGAAAGGCATTAGTTCACAACAAAATCCATAAAAGAAAGGCCAAAATGCATGCCTTAATGGTATATTAGTTACCTGCATACACTAACAAATAAGTGTCCTTGTAGTAGCATTTATCCACAAACAGCTCTGGTTCCTTACCTAGAAAGTATATGGAAGCCATTGCATGGCAACATGGGATGCCAAGCATGTCCCATTTCCTACAAGTACAGCTCCTACTTTCCAAATCCACCACTAGCTTATCTAAGTTGTAATTCACATTGAAAGGGTTTCAAAGGAAGCACTTACTTCACATTCTGCAGCCTTTGCCTTCTCAGCTTCCAACTTAGCTTGAATTCTTGGACAAAGCATTGAGGTGTCTTTCATCATAGCTTGCCTTTTCACCACCAATCTCTGCATCAAAGTAGCTCTTATGTCTTCTAACATGTAAAGCAAATGCTTGGTCCTTGCTTGAATGATGTACCCATTGAATGTCTCTGTTATGTTCGAAATAATTGCATCAGTCTTGATTGTAAGATTCAGAAAAGCTCTGCAGAATAATTTAGGCCTATGCAATTTGAAGTCATTGGCTGCATCCACATTCAACTCTGCAAGCTCCTGAAGTCCTTCATTGTAATAAGCCATATTGTATGCCTTTGCAATTCTCCAGAACAACAATTTTAGCTCATCTCCTTTATACTTCTTGTGCCAGTGAGCAAATATGTGGTCTAGCACAGTGTCTATGCTCTGCCTTAGGCAGAACAGTTGAGACACTATGCACTATGCTCTGTCAAATTAGAAAACAAACAATACAGAATTTAATTAAGCATAGAATAGGAAAAAATATAGAATTAGCTCATCTAAAGAATTAAGTTAGGAATCATACTTGATGCTCATCAGAAATGATTGAGATCCCTTCTCCTTCTTCTAGATTTAGACAAGCAGCAAGTTTCATGAAGAACCACTCCCAGCTAGAGTTGTTTTCACCTTCAACAACAGCCCAACACACTGGGAACATCTGGTCATTACTGTCCCTGCCAACCGCAGCCAACAGTTGACCCCCCATAAAGGTCTTCAGAAAATAGGCATCCACTGCCAAGACCTTCCTACAACCTTGCATCCACCCAGTTTTCAAACCTTCAAAACATATGAACAGTCTCTGGAAAATTGGTGGGGAAGCCTGCTTTTCAGTGTCAGTTACAAGCTCCAATTCTGTTCCAAGACTGCATTCCTCTATTGCCTTCAAATACCCTCCTAGCTTGTTGTAGTGGTCATGCATTGACCCATGTAACAGTCTATGGGCAGTGTATTTAACTTTATAGGCAAAGTATTTGGTGACCAACATCCTATATGCCTTCCTTACACACTCAATAATCTCTTTTGCTGGCCAATGTGGCCTGGTTTTAAACACATCTAGATATTGCTTTGCAATAAAACTTGATTTGAGTTGCCTGTTCCTCTTCATATTTCTCTGACAAGTGTGAACACCTTTCACTATCTTCATAATTATTGTAGCTCTCCTACTATATATCCCAGGAAGCATACACATAGAATGGACAACTTTCTGTGCATTTGACACCTAACCTCTGTGATCTTTTTTTGTTACTCACAACAATACTCACATCTCTGCCCTGCAACACTCCATACTTTTCTACAACATCCTTGAAATCCTCTCTATTTGCAAATTTCTGCCCAACTTTCCACTCAAAAGTTGCAAAATCTGTTTCTGTAGACACCAACAGACTTAATATTTTTCTCCTTACAGGAATCAAATCTTCCTCACCACTATCAGGTGGGGTATGAATTTCCTCATCACTCTGTTCATAATCACTCAGGGGGCTAGAAGGTACACCAGCTCCAGCTTCCCCAACCTCCTGTTGTATGCTTACACCCTTAGATGCTTCAGATTGGATTTTCCTTGCAATCTCAACAAGCTGGGCAGTTGTATCCCTTACCCTTTGCCTAGCTATGTTGTACTCTTCATCCCCACTGTCAGACTGATACTGTAGGTCCTCATTCAAAATCTCTTCAGTCTCCTTCTCATACTCTTCCTATGCCTCCTTACCATCATAATGCTCTTCACCTATATCAGCACCACCATCATAATGCCCTTCACCTATATCAGCACCACCATCATAATGCTCTTCACCTATATCAGCACCACCATCAAACTCTGCATGTAATACATCCTCCCCCCCACTGTCATCTGTATACACTTCTCTAAAGAAAGACTGGCTACTGACTTCTTTTCCTTTGTCAACTTGTGGGTTGTAACTAGGGTCAGTTGTGTCACTGTCACTGCTAAAATCTGGTATCAAATCATTAATATGAATAGGGCTATCAGTCCTTGAATCTTCCCACTCACAACTGTTGATAGGGTCATTTTCTGTGTTTGCAGCTGCTATGGAAGAGGGAGTGGGCTGAGATTTTCAAATGTGGTATTAGGGTTTATAACATATTTTATTCTACATGTACTTTGGTTAGATTGGGTAATGGTTGGTGGATTGGGAATAACTTCAGTGAGAGCATCTTTTTTTGGAATTGATGAGCTGTCAAGGGGTTTTTGGGAAGGTTCATTAATAGTCAACGGCTGACTTTTGTTTCTTGGACTAGATCTAACTGGTGGTCCCCTCTTTATTGGTAGTTTTTTTGTTCTCACAGTTTTTGGTTGGGTCTGTTTTGAGGAAGCAGGCTGTAGTTTAGTAGGAAAGGCTATTGGGTCATTGTCACCATGCATAGCATATACCTCCACCCCCCTGTGCTTCTCTGCCACCTGTATCATTTCCCTCATACTTTCATCATCTGTCACCTTCCTCAAACCATCCACCATAATGAGTCCAGGAACTAAGTATAAAAACCCCTGAATTCTACCATCATATCTAGCACACTTCATAACCAACTCCACAAGATAAAAGGAGCACAGTTCATCAGGGTTTACACTAAAAGTTCTACCTTACCCATTCATATAACACAACCCACCATTGTCAAGCTGCTGAAACACCCATCCATGCCACATTTTCAAGCTTATTTTATTACGAGATTTACGACCCATACCTAAATTAACAGGAACCACAATCAACAGTCAACAAAAACCAACAAAAATAACACAACAAAAACCTAGCATTTAGGATTCGAACTCAATTAACATAAACCAACAAAAAAAATCACAACATAAGACAAACAAACCACAATTCGCACCCACAATTCGCAAAATCATCAATTTCGAGTTTAATTGCTTAAGGTTCGAGATACACTTGCAAAATTAGCAAAATTTCAGGCGTACATTAGGGTTCAAAACTGACCTTAAATGGAGTTCTTTGCTGTCCAAATATCACATACAATGGAAGCTTCAGACTTTAGGGCACCGTACTCAACTGGTTAAAGCTTCAATTATGGCTAACGAAATTTTTTTACAGGCTCTGTTCAAGTGAGTAATGAGGAGTTCTTTCAAACATTAATGAGGGTGGTTGGGAGGAGGGAGAGATGACCTTGCATCTTTTAGGGGGGAAATTAGAGAACCCAATGCCACGTAAGAATGCTTTACCTTGTTAGCCAGTTCCAAGTAAAACGGGACCAACAAAAATTAAAGACCCCCAAGGTCGGATTATTAAATAATAATCCAAAGGTCGGATTATTAAAAAATAATGGGCTAGGCTAAAGGTCGGATTATTGCCATGAATTTTTCCTTATTAAAAAAAAATAATTTTTTTTCACAGTTTTCAAAATGTGTCTTAAAAAGTCTATATCTCTATTTTCTAAAAATTATAAAAACTTAATATTAATAAAATATATACAACTTTTTGTATGCGACCTGTTGTATCGTGCGGCAGGGGTTACTCGAGTTACTCGGTTAGGGTTTACTCGAGTTTCTCGATCAGGGGTTACTTGAGTCGCTGGGGTTACTCAAGTTACTCGATTAGGGGTTACTTGTGTTACTCCTGACCGAGTAACCCCTAACCGAGTAACCCCTCTAGTAACTCCTAACTGAGTAACCCCTCGAGTAATCTATGACTGAACCCCTCGAGTAACCCCTAACTGAGTAACCCCTCAAGTAATCACTGACTGAGTAATCCCTCAAGTAACCCCTGACTGAACCCTCAAGTAACCCCTGACCGAGTAACCCTTGACCGAACTCCTTAATTAACCCCTGATTGAATTACGTGAGTAACCCTTGACGAACTCCTTAAATAGCTCATAACCGAGTAACTCGAGTAACCCATGACCGAGTAACCCCTCGAGTAACCCCTAACCGAGTAACTCGAGTAACCCCTCAAGTAACCCTTGACCGAGTGAACCCCTCGAATAACACCTATCCGAACCCTCAAGTAATCCCTGACTAAGTAACTCGAGTAACCCCTGACTGAATAACTCGGATAACCCCTAACAAAATAACTCGGGTAACCCCTGCTACACGGTGTGGCCTGCTGCACCAAAAAGTTGCTGTAAAATATACAATATGACTAAAATCCCACTTTAACATATAATCTCTTACTTCCTCCGTTCCTTTTTAGATGACACAGTTTGATTTTTACACTATTCACAAACAACACTTTGACTTGCTTTTGTGATTTGTAGCTACGATAAAACATAATCATGTGGGATCTTGTTTGAATCGTCTTAATGTATATTTTATTAATATCCACTTTTTATAATTATACAATGTTGATAATGGGAGATATAACTCGTGAAAATTGTGCGTTGGCAAACGTGATAAAAAAAACGTGTCATCTATTAAGGAACGGAGGAAGTATAAGTTAATGGGAATTTATAGTCAAAGTTTTCAAAGTTTGAACCAAATAAGTCAAATGGGAACTATATATATTTAGAGACGCGGGGTGTAATAAATTTTAGGGGTTTTTCATTCCATTATTTTTCTTTCCCTTTGTTCACTTCATTCCGTTTACCCGTGCAAACCAAACGACCCCTTATTGTTTCTAATGTTGAGAAACTGAAGCAATCCCGAAATTTGTACTGTTTGAGAAAATTAGATTCGTAAATTTGTACTGTTTGAGAAAATTAGATTCGTACCCATAACACTTTGGGCTTGAAGACACTACAAGTATTGAAATCTATTACTCACACTACCATTTTTGGTCCCATACAATCTTAATCTAGATTTCTACTAAACATTTTTATATGCATAAGATTGAAAATAGCTCAATTTCTTTTCACCCTCTTATATAT